GCTCGCACTTGGTCAAGAATTTTCTCTTTTTTTTGGCGCGGCAATTTTGTCCGCAAAGTCCGCAGCCGCTGCTGCGTGCGGTGAGCACAACGGAACAGAGGCGAGTGATTGGAAACAATAGTTACAGGTCTGCGTGCCATTTTCCGTGTGTGCCCGGCGACGGCACCACGCGCTGAAATCTGCCTTTGGCATGCGGTTCTCACAAGAAGTGCATGTCCAACAGCCACGAACTCGGACGGCACAAGCGCGACAAATTCGGCGATCGGCGTGGCGCGCTTTCCACGCAGCAGCTCCGAAATCGGATTCGGGCTTGGCGACTTTGCACGTGGTACACGGTTTCTTCACCTCGCAGGTCAAACACACTCGATAGAAGCTGCATTGTCGCTGTCGGTGCTTCATCGGGAAATTGTCTTCCACGTGCCATTGTTTGCAGACGTTACATTGCCAAGGCGTTCCAATATCTGCGTAGTGCTTGGTACATTCTCGGCACACCCGCGCTGTGTCGTCTCGTTTCCATTGTCCGGCGGTGAAGGCACAATTTTGTCGTCGTTCACCGCAGACTGAGCACGACCGTTCTTCACAATATTTTGCCAATAGTGCTTTCCAATCAATACATTCCCCTCGGAGATGGTGTAACAGCAGTTCTCGGCCTAGGCCGATGCCTTTTTGGAAGGAAGCAAGTTTCTCCGCATTTGGTGTTTGAAGCGTCTCTACGGGTGCTCAGAAACAGTCTTTTTGCGTGTTTCTTTTAAGATATATTCTTCTCTGGCACACCATTTGTTCTCCTAGAAGCTAGGTTCTCATATTATTTGTGCCATGGCTTGAAGTATCCCATGGCTTGAAGTATCCTTTCATGCCGGCTAAACAATATCTGTGTTGGGATTGAGCAAGAAATTGATCATCACATAGCTCACTGACACAGCACTGATGGTTGCACAGGCTGGGTAGGAATGCTTGAAGGCTTGAGTGCCAAGCCTTGCTTTGTCTGCAGTTAGTGATTTCAAAGCGGTGTGAATTCATTAGTTGGCTTGTCAGCTAAGCTGACAAGTCTAGTGGTACTATGAGTAAAATCAAAACATTATTCAACAAATCTACCAGGAAGGAAGCAATCGCTGCCATTGTACTACTTTAGGCCCGGTTTAAACCATTCGGTAGCTTAAATTACAGGACGCTTTTAGCTCTTTTTTGCAGGATGCTCTCAGCTCCTATTGCAGGAGCCTGCGGCTCCTTTGTTTTTTGCGGGTTGTGTGGCAGGAATTGGCAGGATGCCTGATGGCTCCTATCATAATGAAATGCAGTTGCTGATTGACCCTTTTTTCATGGGGCTCTGGTCTGTGCATTTTTTCGAGTTGACTTATGAGTCTGGCTGTCTGGACATCTGATACGCGGAGAAACAACTATCAAGTCTGTGTATCACTGATGAAAATGAAAACAAGGGCCGCTCGATAAAGAATACAAACTACCATGACCTGTTTCCTCAAAGAAATATAATTCCACAATTTACTCGTTGCTAAATATATGTTTGGTGACTGGCCTGGCCGGAGGATGTTCCAAAGCTTCAATTCAGGTGTGGAACTTCCGGCTTGGAGCCCAGACCTCGTGACATGGTCCTTCGTCGCATTTCCCGGTTTTTTTTCAGGTAAATCAGTGATGCTGTCGGGGGCTGCTTGATTGCCAGCTTTTCTCCGAAATGTTAATCATTGGGTTGCAAAATTCCTGTTCGTCCGCCATCAGGACAACTTGCCAGTCGTAGCTGTGGCTGATGCCACGTCTGTGTTGAACTTGTTTCGTGTGGCTTCACGCTAGTGCATTGGATAAAATGTTTTTCCCTCGTCTACCTAGGAATAAAAGAAATTTGTTCAACTTATTTTGTGCTCCACAACATCGACCATTCAAGACGCAGTGCCTGCGCAGGTATTCAATGATTTGATCTCCGAAACATCAAAGTTGTTGTGACAAGGTGAAAAAAACATATATCGTTTTTAATCGACAAAATTGTTGAATAAAAATATGTCTATGTGTGTGGCTTGCTGGTTAGATCAGATCATGAATACTCTGACCATTGCAAGTCCCTCTGGAATTTCGCTGGCATGCTGGCTGAGCCATTGCCAGTCTTAGGGGGTTGAGACACTGGCCAAGCACAATGCAATTCAGGAAAAAACAGGGCTGCGCAATGTGGTGCAGGTGGGCCTCTCTTTTTTGGGTAAAGATAAACGTTGAAATTTTGGGGATAGGCGATGCTTCACATAGTTGCATGGTCACATTCCTTTTTTTGCAGGATGCAATGTGCTCCTCTGTCAGGGCAGGTAGCTCCAAGCACCTTTCGTAAATAGTATGCAGGAAGCATTCTTGCTCCTTTACTCAAGGTTGGGGTTTTAAGTATTCCGTGAAAAACATTACTGAATTTGATTGCTTTGAGCCCATACGCGAAGCGCCGGGGCCACGTCACTTCAAGCTCGGGGTGCTGATTTTGAAGATGGCTCTGTCGCGTTCCAAAGCTATGGAGCCTTTTCCAGACTTGCCGACGTCGGAGTCTGATTGCAGCTTGCCCTCTGATGATGGGCCTGTTCTTTCTGATTCAGATCCTCTGTGCGCTGTTCGCTGGGGATGCAGTTGCAAGGATGGACCATGCGTGTCCCCTCAGAGCTCTTTGGAAACTGCCTGCAAAGTTTTGCGTGAAGGGATGTCTCAGTGTGATGCTCAGCAACGCCGCCAGCGTCAATGGCTTCTCTTACGTGAGATGAGGGTTTCGCAGAAGGTGCCAGCTGGGCAATACATGATCCAAGGAACTCCAGTTTGCAGGAAAACATGGCAAAAGGCGCATTTGATTGGGTCCGGCACGTTGAAAGAGCTGGCGGCTGCTGTGAATGCTGACGGACCGCCTCCTGATGGTCGGAAGAAGGGATTGAACTGTCATCATGGCGCCTCCCAGTTGTCTACCGGACAGCAAGATGTGAACAAGTTTTTGTTCCATGCCTATAGCCATTGGGCAATGCACGTGCCGACAGAAGATGGGTCCACCATGGAACTATCTGAACCTGGTGCCTTGCCTCTGGAGGTGGAGTGTGACATCCCGCAGGATGATGATAGCCAAAGAACCCACGAAGCAGAGCTGGCTGAGCCTGTGGTCGGTCCGGAGACTTCTGGCAAGTTAGATTCCCGGCGCTACCTTCCACACTCCAGTTGGCAGGAATTCTATGAGATGTACTGCAACTGGTCCGACAGCCCGGTGCACAAGACTTCTTTCCGGCGGCAGTACCTGAAGTCGGAGTTCAAAAACTTCTTGCGCATTGCTGATGCCAGTGACCACAACAAGTGTCAGACATGTGAACGGCTCAAGGCTTTGCGCAAGAAGGCTCAGTGCGAAGTGCAGTTGAAACAAATTCAAGCTGCGCATGCCAACCATGTGCAGTCAGTTATGAAAGACCGTTCCTGTGATGCCCAATCAGAACAGCTTGGCAGAGACAGTGTGGGTACTACTTCGACCGGAAGTCCTTTGGTGACCAGGCAGAATGCAGTGCTGAACTGGACACAAGACGCCATGGACCAGGCGAAGTTTCGAGTTCCGAGACAAATCGCCCAGGCGAAGGCTTTGGCTCAAGCGTGGCGTCCCCAGCTGGCAGCCCACGGTTTGATATTTGACGGAGTGCCAGGAGGCAAATTTTTGTTTTTGGTTGACCAGGACATCGGAAAAAGCGCGAATTTACAGTGCAGTGTGACATCACGAGCGCTTCAGGCGAGGTCTTCTGGGATTTTTTTTTTCGGATTGTTAACTGACAGACTGGTTTAAATCAAATCGCTGTGGCTTTTTTGGCAGGTGGTCGCAGAGCGATTGGTTGACCGTGGTGTGGATTTGCCAATGCACTTTCGGTGTGTCTCCGACAATGCCACTGCTGAGACCAAGAACAACTGCTTTCTGAAGCTTCTCGGGGTGATGGTGGGCCGAGGCAATGTGACTTCTGCGGTCTTGTGCCAAGGCCGTGTGGGCCATACCCATAACCGGCAAGATGCTTCCTTCAGCCATGTGGCCACAGTCCTCAGCAAGGCCAAGGTGCTGCAAGATCCCGACGAGTTCAAGGAGAGGATCCACCAAAACCTCATGGACTACCATGTTGAGAGGGTCCATGCTGTTATGGATTTCCAAACGTGGTTGATGGCGGTTGGTACCCGCATCACTGGCCTGAATCAGACCAAAGAAGCTACCAAGAAAAACCTGGAGGCTTGCCATTCCTACAAGCTCGTGCGACGTGAAAGTCTTCCACCCAACTTTCAAGCTGCCATTCAGGTTCCAGATTTCTTGAAAGGTGTGGAACAAAACAGCAGAGACGTCATCTTGCTGTCCAAACTGTACATGGCTTCAAAGAACCTTTCGCAGGCACCCATCGTTTTCCTTCCCTGGGCATGGCTCTGCAAGCTCAGCCCGCGGCCTTGTGACATTCCGATTCCCAGGCACAAATTCTCCGAACGCCAGAGCAAGGAGTTCCAGAAAACTGCCGAGCTCATGAAGCAGTGGGATTACATGAAAGCTCACAACTACCTGATGGAGCTGGCCACTTGACTTGTTGTTTTTTTTTGCCTTTCCGGAACCCAAGCCGCCCTCCTTAAAATGCTGGGTTCAAACTGTTGGCCGGGTGTGGGGCTTTAGAGGAGTGAGTCGCACCAGCAGCGAGCTTCTAGATTGAAGCGTCTTCTAGATTGAAGCGTCTTGCTGGCAGCCTTGAGGCCAACCGGCTAGGAGGGCAGCCGATGACATCAGGACAAATGGGCTAACGTGCCTGTGATGGGGCCCTGCGACACTCCTCTAAGTTGAATCGGGAGGCCACTACTTGAAATCCATTCTTTGTCATTTTTCAATTCTTTTTTGTTGTTAATTATTTGGTTCACTGCTTAGGTCATTAACAACCGCCATGGCCGAGCCGATTCTTGGATCTTGCCCGTGATTCATTGGGTTTTCTGCGGCCGTCGTGGACATTCTGTCCGCGAAGATGAGTTAGGACCTCAGTTGGATTTGGGCTTTGCCTTCACTGGGCCTTTGGAGATTGCTGTGGTGCCAGAGACCAAACGCACGTCTTCGGCGCCTGCTGGTTCTTCAGTGCAAGGCGCTCCTCTTGGATCAGCTGCAATTGAGAAGGGATGTCCTCCAGGACAACATGCTGAAGCTGCACCGGCTGCACCTCGACCTGCTCCTGGCGCCGTTTGCTTTGCTGCAGCTCCAAAGGCAGCTGCTAAGAGAGCCCCCAGGGCAGCTGCCAAGACAGCTCCGAAAGCAGAACCAGGACAGGGACGAGGACGAGGAAAGGGGCGAGGGAGAGGACGAGCCGCTGCTGCTGCTGCTGCTCCTGCTGGTGCACCTGCACCTGCAGCAGCAGACGGTGTCTCGCCTGCTGCTGAAGCTGAGCCCCCGGCGCCTGCTGAGCCTAGCGCTAAGAAGAGGCGCATTAGCATTCCTCCTGGTGTCAAAGTTGGCTGCGGCAAGTGCAAGCATGACGAGGTTGGCTGCACGACTTGCAGGCCCAAGGCAGGCTTGGTCGAAAGTGACAAGAAAGGCGTCTGGATTTTGAAGCCCGCAGTGTAGGTCTGTGGCTTGCATGGATCTGGTAGACATGATGGACATCATGATTTCTGCTTCGGAAGAACAATTTTTTTGCGGAGACAGATGGGTGTAGAACAGTTGCCCAAAATTCTGAAGCCAGATGCATGTCGCCGCTGGACCGTTGCTGTGAACTTTTGAACACGACTAGGGGAAAGACAATTCTGAGTGAAATTGTCGGTGAAAAACATTTAAATATTAAATCATGCTGCATGCTTGTTGAATTAACAGTTACGGTGCATCAGCAAGCGGTCAAAGTATTGTTGAATTTCACACAGTCTTGTTGCTTCGGGTCTGTCGACACAGCCGAGAAAGGCAGACAGGGGAGGTCCATCAAGTGCATGGACGGAACGTATTTTGCTCAGCTAAAGATATATGACAGAGCTATGACGGCCAAAAATCATTGCCGGGCTGCTCATTTGTCGCCTGGTCAAGGTTGGGAATTTTCGAGCTTGATTCTGTGTGCCTCGGTTTCTCCTGCGCTTTCTTGCAAGATCCAAGGTGCTGAGTGATGAATTCTTTGTTCCTGAAGCTGTGGTTCAAGAGCTTTGAAAGCAGAAGGCACTTTGGGCGCGAAAAGTGCCCCTGCTAGACTGTCGTCACAATGAGTGACAGCCTGTCAACGCGGCGCGTGGATGCCATCATGGAAATTGTCTCCGATGACACAGTGGATGTGTCAGAGCTCTTCAGTCGCCCACGCCTGGTTCCACGATGCCAGTTTTTCAACTTGATTGCGGGCGAGTCGTTTGATTGGAAAGATGACGAGGAGATGGATCTAGCTGGCGTCAATGGCCGCGCAACAGTCTGGAACCACATCAATTTGTATGCACCCAAAGTCTTTGTGCTATCTCCCCCTTGCACATTATATTCAGCGCTGGTGAACATGTGGGGTCGCAAGGCCATGGGTGAAGCCAAGTACCAGAAGCGTCGAGAAGAAGCAGATCGTTTGCTGAGCTTTGCATGTGAAATTGGCCTGCATCAGCTGCAGTGCCGTCAGCACTTTGTCTTTGAACACCCTGATGGCGCATCCAGCTGGAAGACTGGGCCTCTACTTCATTTGAGCCAGCAACCGGGTGTCATTGCGACACGCTTTGACCAATGTCGCTTTGGCCTCTGCAGCCCAGGTAGCCAGCAGCCCATTCGCAAGCGGACCCGTTTGCTTCACAATGTGCCTCAGTTATGTCAAGCATTTGGTGGCGCCTTCTGCCAATGCACAGTGCCCCACAGGCGCATCGAAGGATCGGAGAATGGAGTGCAGCTGTCTTCTTTTTGCGAAACTTATCCGCCATTGATGGTGGAAACCATGCTTGCAGCAATCCGCGCTGAGGTGAGCGTGGAATTCATCAACTAAGAGTAGATGCAACTGCACCATTGACAACGGTCAATGGAAATTCATTCCAAACATTCAGAACCATGCATTAGAGGAAAAAACATAGTCGCCACCTTGGCGCTGCCTTTGCAGGATGCATACTGATTGCTCCTTTTACTGCAGGACGCTCCAGTCTATGCTGTGTAGCTCCTATCGTGTTTGTCCTGCAGGATGCTGTTAGCTCCTTTTCTTGCAGGCAGCACCTTGCGCCTCACCGTTTGGGGTACACAATCCTGTTGCCTTTAACAAGCATTGCGTTTTGGAGTTGGCATGATTGTACACAATATCATAACAACTGAACAGGTCATGGGAAAAATATCCAATCAAGTCACCGTGACTTTTTCAAAGTTCTTTGTTTAAAGGAACCGCCACATACTGCAATGAAAAAACAATAGTTTTTCCAAGCAAAGGCATCTCAGCGAACAAGGCACGGTTGCGTCATTGAACACTGAAAGCTGCAGCAACTTAAGCGGTGAACAAGAGAAACAGACCATTTGCAATACCCACGCTTTAAGAAACAATCAGTTGCAATTAAGACACGATGGTTTTATAGGAAACTGATGCGAGCACCTTCTTTGAAAGAGGTAACATCTGTGGATCATTTCTTGGTCTGAAAAAAAAATCTACACTCTGTGTGATTGAACAGGAAGTTTTCCTTGCTCATTCCAAAAGAGGACATTGTCAGGGGCAGCAAATACAGCTCTTTCACGACCCACTTAAACAGAAACTGTACAATCCAAACTATCATGCATCAAACGTTATTATTGGAAACTGTGCTTTCGAAAAACAAGAAGCTTCCAAATAGTATATATTTCTTTTTGAAAAGGAAGCATGGAAAAGAATAAATGCAAATCACAGCCTCGCACATTTCTGCTTTCTTGTTGAAGTAAAACAGAATCAAAATCAAACACATCTTGGTGAATGGTTGATGAAAAGATTACATTTTGCAATACTGGCGAAAGAGTGTTGGGCTGCATGTTTGATTCCCTGCGCTTCATCTTGGAATTCTTTTTGGTGATAAACAATTGTCGCGCATTCTGTGGTGTCAGAGACAGGGATTAAGATCAAGGCTTAGCAGTGTCTGACAAGATAATTTGACAACATTCCAAAATATACAGGGAAGCAAGCAATATATATATATATATATCTCACACTTGCCCACATTTTGTAATATATTTTTGGTATGCAAGAAAAGCCGTCATAGAAAAGATCTCGTCAGTTTTTAGGGACAAGGAATTTAGAAATATTGGGAACAGTCGTGGAATGAAGTATTTTTGCTCCGGGGCATCTGCACGTTTATTTGGAACTTGCTTGAATGATCAACACAATACCTAACATTTTTTTACAACAAATAAGAAAACATTATTGCCAATCATTGTGCAGCAGTGCTTGTTACGAAGACTACACATTTTTTCACTGATTGCACAAAAAGGTTCTAAAACAATGACCCACAGATACCTTCATTTTTTTGTACGCAAGACAGGCAGCCAGAGGAACTACCTTTTTTTTAAACAAACAGTGCCAGGTAGCACCTTGAAACATCACTATGCTACAATTTGGTCCTAGAAATTGGCCAAATCGATTGGTCAACAGCAGCAATATGTTCAAAAAACGAAAAAACATTATATACTTTTTAAATTAAAACATGTAAATGCTGCAAAGTCGACTGCTCAAATTGAGAGGCCAACATCGCAGCAGTTCTAGCGAACTGCTGAGATCTCCCATAGAAAAAACTTTTTGCTGCCAAGGCAGGTACTTATTTTGTGAAGGTGACTTCGCTGCAAAAAGTTGTTGAAGAAAGGGGATCGCAGCAGTTCTATCGAACTGCTGCAAAGTCCACTACTCATTTTGTGTAGGTGACTTTGCTGCAATTGCAAAAAAATCATTCGAATATAATCTCTGAGTAAAGATATGAGATGTAAAAAATTATATTGTAGTTGTTTCTGGCCGAAACTGTTTCTCAAAAATGAATTTAAATTTTCGAGAAACAAATTAACAAATATAGATATATATTATATATACACTATTTTCTAGACCCCATGACCCTCATGAATTGGAACAAATTTTCTTCTGCAGTGGGGCTGCCTCTGTTTTTGGTGTTTTAATAAAGAAGTTGTAGTGTCACAGAATATGACTGCCTCCTCTTTGTCATGGAAAAAAGCTACATTGCGTTTTTTAAAAGAATCAATGCTGTTACTAAAGTGTTTCACATTGGTTACTTGTTTCCTGTCGCAAGCATGTTCTGGTCAATGTTTCTCCTATTAATTTTTGTTTCTTGAACATGTCTGAAAAATTAGGAAAATATTCCAAGTTACATGTTGTTGCATAGACTTCTGTGTGCTGAAAACATATTATACAATATTAGTCCAAACGCACTGGCAATAGAATTGTCCAGCATGTGTCCAAGCAATGCTAAAAAAAAGCATGTATCCCGAAAAAAAATCTGTAAACTTTGCGTTCACTACAATAAGAATAAAAAATGCCTTGGTCTATGTATCTATAAACATATATTCTTTTGCAGCAGAAATGCCTTTGCTGAAAGGAAGACAAACAATGATCCATGAATCATTGCAGCCACAGCGTTGATTTTTTTGACAGAATTAAACCACCTTGTGTGGGGCCCTGGAAACCGAATGCTGTTCTCCACGTAACGCTGAAAGCTCAAGGACAAGGGTTGGCGGTGATAGAAATACAGGAATCGCAGTAGATTTGCGTAGGAATGTCAACTGATGACAATTTGCTTACCTGTACATACAGTTCATATACTTCCAAACTGTCCCTGCCAAATAACCAACATCAGAATATTTTGTGTAACTCTCCTGTTTCTCCTGTGGCGACATCGCCTCCTTGAGCCATGGCTGATCGTCGGGCTCTCTTGCATCTCACCCAGGGCCTTTTAGAGGTCCTACGTGAAGATGAGCTTCAAAGCCAGGTGCGGGCTGCGTCTGCGGCTGCTGGATGGCACCCTGGTATGCCGACGTTGCCTCCACAGATGCACATGATGCCGCAGTGGCAGGCAAGGCCACCTCGCATGATCGCGGGGATGCCGTCGCACATGCCCGGCACGCAGCTGATGGGTCCTCCAGCTGCTGCTGCTACTATGATGGGTCCCCCTATGATGGCCCCCCCTGGCTTCTGCCCTGGTCCAATTCCGGCAATGCCAGTGCGGCCTATGACTGTGACGCCAATAGTGGAAGAGCCTGATTCTGACGATGTCGCAGTTCCTCATGGTGCGACAGCTCGACCTGCTGCAGCATCTGCTGCTGCTGCTGCTGCTGCTGCAACAGCAGCGACGGCCGGCACTGAGATGGAGGAGATTCCCGTGGAAGAGGAGCCGCCCCCGCGTTCCACTCGCCGTCCAGTGAGCCCTTTAGCAGGGCCAAAAAATCGACCTGTCTTAGCACCCAGGTATGCGAGGAAGAGCAGCCCAGCCACTCCAGCTCCTTCCTTGTCCTCGACCGGACATGATGATGATGCTCCTGGCCCCGCTCCAGCTGCTTCCTTGTCCTCCCTGGGACATGATGATGTTCCTGGCGCCTGGCCCAAGTCGGCTCCTGACGCTGATCCACGCCGCGGAGTTGTTGGAGCCAGTCCTTCTGCTGCTAGCAGCTTAGCTATTAAATTGTTTTTACTTTCTCGTCCCTGAAAGATGACATCCGATTCCTCAAAACTTTGATCATCATTGCAGGCACTAGCTTCCGGGCACGCTCTCGCAGCCGCCGCAGACGCCGTGATGATGATGAAGGTCGCAAGGAAAAAAAAAGACGGGGTAGCAAGGGCAACCCGGAGAAGCGAAAGCGTTGGTACGCAGAGCACTACCCGAATGAAGTGCGACCAAGACCTCCTCCCCGTGACAGTTGCTTGACATTGATTGAATCAAGTTTTCCCACCTAATAGAAACCCTTGTGTGTTAAATGTTTTTATGTGACCACTCTGCCTCAAAGGCCCACCTGATGACCATGACGATCACACCCATGGCGGAGGTGGCGGAGCTGCTGGATCTGCTACAACTGCAGCAGCAACGTGAGAGTGGTAGCTCCATGACGAAAGCTGAACTCCTCCGAGTCTTCCAGAGAAAATGTCAGCAGCAGCGCAGTTCGCAGGATGCATTTTGCTCCTAACACCTTTGCAGGACGCCCAACTGGCTCCTACACATTGTAGACATAGCATGCACATTAGGTCGGCACACTCTTAAAATAGTGAAGTACAACATGGTCACACCCAGCTGCAGGATGCATCATTGCTCCTTGTCATCACACACACACACCGTGGTTCTTCTGATTCTTTACATGTGTTTTGCAGAAGCATTGAGTTGCTTCTACATGATGCTTTGACTGACAGTCAACACTTTGCTTGTCTCTGGGAAATGAGACTCATGAAGCCATGGCGAAGCCATTTAAGGCTGTCAGATTGCAACTGCCTCGGTTTCAGGAGACATGGAGGCTGCCAAGGTGGAGCCGCAGCCTGAGCAGGAGGACTCTTTCGTGGATGCAAAAGCTGAAGAAATGAGCACAGTGGAGGAGAAACTTGAGAGCCCCGTGTTTGACTCTTTTGAAGACTCTGAGGTCAAGCTTGCGCCTTCAAGTCGCATGGGAGAAGTGATGCAGTCCTGCGAGGGGATCACCGACAGGGAAACCTTAAAGCAACAAGTGCTGACAGCTTTCGATGTCCTTTGCGATGACTGTGGAGGCCCTTCCCAATGGCTGGCTGAGAGATTCAAGGATTCAGAAGCTGACTTCCGTGCTTCTTTGTCATCCATGTTCCCTTGGATGGCTTCCATTGATTATGTTCAGCCTGCTGCCTTGGGAAAGAAGGATAAAGGCTTTGTCCATGTGTCTACGCTCTCCTTCAGCCCAGATCGCAGCACCAAAGGGTTTCCGTACCGCTGCACATGTCGACACATCCTGGAAGAGATTTTGGTGCATGGGTTCTTGACAGAAGCTGAACCATTGCTTCTATGGTGCAGCCCAGAAGACCGTTTGCTTTCGCAAGTTGACTTCCGCTGCCGCTATGTGAAAGGCTGTGCGCGATGTGTGTCTTTGCTTTCACTGCTGGCGCTCTTCCGGGACCTGGCCGTGGACGTCATGGTGCACTTCCCCCACATATATCAGTCTGTCCAGCTGATCCATGTCATGTTCCAATCCCATGCCAGCTTGACTTCTGTGGCGATAGCCAATGCGCACTTGAGTTGCTCCGGGTCAATCCGCCAGGCTCATGATGTGATGACCTGGGTGAACAAACTGCGGCTTCTGGAAGGTGGGAGTGACGCGCCTGCAGCAATTCTGGAGAAGTTCAACAGCAATGCAAGCGCTCGAGGCAAGGTGACTGGCAACCGCCGTGTGGCAGCACTGGCTCTTTTGCAGCCAAATTGCAGGCGGGGATGTGAGATGATGGTGGGTTTGCTTTCCAGGATAGGTCCCCGTGCCGTGTGGTGGGGAGAAGATAGCTTCTGCAATAAGAAGCTGCTGCCGAACTTTGCGCCGCGGACTGGCAGGAGTTCTTGGAACCCAATTCTTGTTGTAACTGCGGAGTCCTTTGAAACTTGGATTGCGAGCCTCAACAGACAGCACCTGGCCAAGAACCCGAAGTCGAGGCGAAGTTTGGAAAAATCGAGGTTGGAGGAGCATTCGCAGCTTTCTGCATTCTGGACATGGGCGAAGACAGAAGCCCAACACCATGCTGTAGATCCTGAAGACCTGGCAGCTGTGCATGAAAAATTTCTCGACGGAGATGTGACATTGTTGCTAGATCTCCAAAGCCTGCTCCATGAGAAGAAATCTGACATTTGCTGGAAGGATGTGCTCCTTGGCTAACCCACAGTTTCACTGTCTGGTCTGTCTGTTTAAGATAATAACTTGTCCAAAAAGAAGCTCTTGCTTTTCACTTTCCACGGATAACATCAATGACTTGTTTGTGAAAGCCGAGGACGATTCTGCGAGAACTCCACCAGAAAAAGCAGTCCTGCACAGATCTGGCGCTGCTGGGCCATGCAAAGACCGAGATCGAGGCCAGCAAGTTTGAGAAGATGGAATGGGAGCTTGTCCATCAAAAGATCAAAGGCGACATCCAGGCAGTATCGGTCTTTAGATCGAAGCTTGCTTGTCATGAGAGCCTCTTGTACCATGCTCGGGTTGAGCACCTTCGGAAGCGACGCATCAGTGCCAAGGAAGCCACGGCGACGCTTTTCATTGGACCAGCCGCGCAGTTCAAGTTTGTCTCTGCAGTCGAAGATGTGGTGGCTACTTTGGGGCAGCTGAGCCGTGAGTATCGCCTCAGCCAACCGCTGCCGGCTCTGCTGATTGTCAACTGGGCTGCTCCATCTGTTGTGCGGGAGGAGCAAATGTCAATGCAGCTGCAGACTATGACCAACCTCTTTGCTGCAGACTCCGTAGACCCCATGGGCATCATTTTGATGCCAATTTGGGAGCGCGCAAAAGGATCTCTTTACAAAACGGAGAACTTGCTGCTCAAATCTTTGAGCGAGAAAGACATCAACACCGATGAGAAAGCCTCCTTGAGTTTCGAGGACAAGTGTTTTCTCAGTCATGTCCAGGTAAGTGTACCTCATTTTTGCGTTTTCAAAACATGGGAAGGACAGAGCAGATCCCAGAGACAGACGTCCCCTGGAGTATCCACTGCGGCTGGCCTTTCCTTTGCGTAGTGGACCAAAAAATGTGACGCAAAGCATCTGGATGAGATCAGCTCTGTATGTCAACAACAGAACCAGCAGCAGGGCGCAGATGTTGCAAGTCAAGGACATGCGAGTGCCGGAGACTGAAGATGACTTGCCAAGCTCTGATTTGCAGGACCGTCTAAATCCTGCAGACAAGTATTGTCAAATCGGAGAATCTGCAGCTGCGGCTTTGATTTCCTCTACATTTGCAACTCTACCTTCTGGCCATGCCTGTGTGGCAATTGTTGATCTCAGCCCAAAGACAGGTGACCTGGCGCGAGCCATGCTCAGAATGCCTGCTGCATCCACCGCATTGCATTACATTGCTTTGGCGCCGGAGTTGCAAATGGAATGGGCACGCACTGATTTGCACGACTTGGCCATTGATCTGTTTTTGTCCCGGGCCTTGAAGGTGAAGGACTTTGAGCCGCTGCCGGAAACTCTGCCTGCAGATCAACAACCTGAACTTTTGGCGCCAGCCCTCAATGTGGGAACCGTGGATGGCCTGAACCTCCAGCTGCCGCAGAGCTTGGCTGCAAAGTGGGGCTCCAGCTCCTTCAAGGATGACTGGGAAGCACTTCTTGAAGAAATGAATGCAGTCATCCCTGTGAAGGACAATGTTGACCGGCCGAGCAAGCGCTTGCGCACCAGCAATGCCGTGGACCTCGTGGAGAACCCTGCTGGTGCGACCAAGTTTGAATTCATTCATGTGGCGGAGCTCGACATGACAAAGCTGCTGATTCAAGCGAGTTGCAGCAACAAGCTGAAAGGCCTGAGTTTCCAGCTGTTTCCCAGCAACCGCTTGATGCTTGTGAACACTACTCCCGCTCCTATTCCCGTGGTTGGGTCTTTGACATCATGGCAGAAGGGAAAATGGTGGCAGCCGAAGGAAACAACTGAAATGTGGGACCCAGCTGTGGATATCATGTGGAAGTTTGAAGGAAGCTCTGAGATTGTCTTTATTGACAACCAAGCGCAAAGCCTCTTCCAAGTCATCGACGCCATGAAACGATCCAAGCCAGAGCAAGCAATCGTCAGGTACCACAGCCTTACCGAACATCCTCAGGGGCAGCATGGGCCTGGCGACTTCACCGTCGAGGTGAAGCACCAAGTTGCATGGCGGGCAGAGAAGATGACAGTTGAAGGAGGTGGAAAGGCCAACTACTTGACTATCGCTGGGCTTTTCCCTGCCGACTGCTGGGACTTGAGCAAGGTGCAGATTGTCTGGTCAACACGATTTGCAAAACAAGGCCTCACAGGAATCAAGCCAAGTGTCTGGCTGAAGGGCAGCTGCATCATTCCTCCACAAAGCGCGCTGGAGCTGACTCTGATGGCTGAATGACTGAATGAATTTTGAGAGCTGCTGGCTGCAACCCACCAAAACGGTGAGGGAATTTTGTGAACAAAATTAGGGAACACCGTGCTTAGGATTTTGGCAGATTGCCAGCGTAGAGATGCCGATTGTCCGCAGAGAAAAAGATTGCGGAATTAAAGGAGGCCAATTCCTCCAGCTCACGGTGTGGGAGTTTTCAAGTGCAGGAGCATTTTATGCTTCTTTTTAGGCAGGATGCCTGTATTTTGGCTCCTTCGTGCAGGACGCTGTAAGCTCTTTTTTGCAGGATGCCTTTTGGCTCCTTTGTGCAGGATGCTGTAAGCTCCTTTGTGCACAGTGTCACGATCCTTTGTTCTATTGTTGCAGTTTTTGGGGCTAAGCTTTGCTGAAGCAGCCGCTGCTTTCCGTGACCACCAATGGCGCAGAGCAAGTATGCGGATCGCATGGGTGACTTGTCTTCGTTCATTCAGGTGTCATGACGTGTAAAATCAGGGAGTTTTTATTCATGTCTAGAATCTACAAAGTTACAATCCCAGGTATGGACTGGCCTGATGGCGTGCCTGATCTCGACGAGTACATGTACCAGATGGAAAGCCCCTTTTGTGGCACTAAGCCATGGGTGGCCCTCAGCGATCGCACCTCAGATGTGCGCATGGAGAGTCTGCTGAGATGGATGGCCAACTACGAAATTCATTTCGCGGGTGACAGAGATGTCATTTGCTTTGAAGAGCTGGTCTTTCAAGTGCGAGAATATTCTATAAGCCAAAGCGGGCCGTGGATGGCAGAGGTTGAACTCTGGGACGTTTGGGAGCAAGAGCAGATGTGCGTCAGGTTCAAGCTGACAAAGGATCACTTTGGCACCGACTCGGCTGAACAATGAGCGGTAGTGGACTGGCGGGGTCTCCATAGAATAGCTCACAGCCCATCAGAGGCTGCTGGCACTGTTAATCTCTTGCTCCTGAGAGTGAAAACCTCTTGCACGGCTGCATCAACAACTTGGAAGATGTTCTTCATTTTCTCGCCAGGCTTCCAAATGGCAAGCCTTGTAAGCCAGATGCTTTGTGTGAACGGCATACATTGTGTTCATGCATTTTGGCTTACAGATAAAAATGGTA